GCGAGGAGGCAACAGAAGCGGAGCCATTGACAGCGTTCGGGACTGCGGCTGCAAGGTCCTTCGCACACGTCGCCTCTGCCAACCGATCTCTGCACACGGGCTCGATCGATTGGTCCCGCGAGAAGATGCCTCCTCTCAACGCGAGGAGCGACAGGAGCTTGGCGGCCATCACACCACCTCCAACAAGTACCAACAACTTTTGGAAGTAGAGTTAGAGAGGACGTCGTTCCGCGGAACTTTGAAACTTGCTATGTGGTTTTACTGGTTTCCGCCACAACGCTGCCGCTTCTAGCTAAATGCCCGCCAACAACACGTTCTGTGGCAAACGTGCCTAAACTAGTACCGAAAACCGACCGAACGCCGCCGTGGAGAGCTAACTAAGAGGTAGGTAGCAGCCCCTTGGAGTGTGAAGGCTTCGTAGCCCTGCCGTCTACTATGAAGATCCGCAGGACTGGAGCGAAAAAAAGCAAGCGAGTGGGTAGGTAGGTGGCCGGAGCGCGGATCGATCGATCGAGGGGGAAATGGCAACTTTCAGGAGAGCTAACTAAGAGGTAGGTAGCAGCCCCTTGGAGTGTGAAGGCTTCGTAGCCCTGCGGTCTACTATGAAGATCCGCAGGACTGGAGCAAAAAAAAGCAAGCGAGTGGGTAGGTAGGTCCGGCCGGAGCGCGGATCGATCGATCGAGGGGGAAATGGCAACTTTCATGAATTCTCGAAACACTCAACCTCGACATCTCGACAACAAGATCACCCCGATCACCACTTCGACCCTTATGATCACCCTTCTCCCCGATTCAAGGCCGTGGTGATATCTCATAGGACATAGCCACATATACATAAAGTTCGATCGTGCAGCGTGGAGCGGCCGCTCTCCGGCTAGCTGCCCGACGGCCGGGGCGAGCGCAATCCAAAGCCAACGGGTCCACGCTGCGGTGGGAGCCTCTATATGTTTATGTTGATATAGAGTTAGAGAGTGTGGCTTCCCCAAGTAATGTCATCATACATCAAAATGAGGTGTAATTATAGACCAAACGACACTCCTATCTGTATCTCACAGATAAAAGACAGTTACAGACAGAGAAAACATGCGATGCATACAGATCTCGATTTACCATGTCCTTGCCACACTTGCAGACGGGTGTCTAGACCTGGCGCGAGGCAAAGTCAAAGCGCGAAAAACGGTACAAATTTGGTCGGCGCGGGGGCGGGCGCGGGGCGGCGGGGGCGGAGAGAGCCCCGTCGCCGCCCCTCTCTCCGCTTTCACGCTGCGGAGGCGTGGGCGTTTGCATTCACTTCGCCCTGCCCTCTTCCGGCGGCAGGTCGCTCCAGTAGTAGGTGAGCTCGACGCTCTCGCTCGCCCTTCCGCCCTCCGCCTACTCGCACATCGAACGCGACGTCTGAGCCGAGGCGCTTCGCCCGCCCCCGTCTCGCGGGCGCCCTCTCTCATCGCCTCCTCCTCCGGTGCCGCCGCGGGGCAGATGAAGACCGCGTTCGCTGCCGCAGAGCCGAGGGCGTTGACGGACGCCGCCAGGCGCCGCGCGTCCGCCGCGACGTCCGCCATCAGAGGCCTGACGCGCGAGGCAGCGGCGTGCGAGGGGGCTGAGAGAGGGAAAAGGCACACAAGGGTTCGGAGAGAGGGCCGCGGCGCGATGGAGGCTTGAGCTCGCCTGCTCGCGGGCTGCAGCTGCAAGCAGCTCCGGATGAGGTCCGCGAAAGCCGCGCGGTCCGGGAGGAGGCTGGTGGCGGGGCGGAGGTCATGGAGGCTGCTGCCCGCCTCGTACTCGTCCACGTCGCGAGGGTGCCTGACAGGGAAGGGGAGGGGAGGGCGCTCTCTGACGGCAGCAGAAGCCGGGGGACGTCCGACCTCAGCAGTGCCTCTCGGCTATGCGCGTCGCCTCTGGTGCATGAGGGACCAGAGCAGCATCCCGTACGAGTAGAC